ACGTGCCCGGGTTGGGAAGCAGCCGCAGGCCCCATCGTCGCGTTCCTGCGGCGCCTGCAGTCCCGGGGGTCCGTTCTGAACCTCGACCGCGCCGGTCCCAGCACCCAGGCCGCCCCCAAGCGGCGGCAGCGTGAAGCCCGGAGGAGAGGGTGGAGGCGGCAGACCCACGAGGGCGGGCGCGGGCGGCGGCGGTGGCCCTGCGGGCGGCGAGCTAGCGGCCAACACGTTCCCCATGGTTGCCTGCAAGGGAAAAGGTCAGAGGGCGGAGGTCAGGGCCTGCGGCCCCGGGCCCAGTCCCCAGCCAACCCCCGCCCGGCTCAGGGCCCCGGTTCTCACTGGCGGCAGCGCCTGTTCCCGGCCTGGGCTCCGCTCCCACCCCGTGCGCCACGCGCAACCGAACCCACTGCCGCCGCCGCCACCACCGTCACCCCGCCTCCCCTAGCCTATTGGTTCAACATGCCCTAGGGTCCGCCCACCAGCTTCAGGGCCTGGCCCTGCTATTGGAGCCATGGATGAGAACCCCACCCATTTCTTCGGAACGCCCTTTTTTATTGGCTCCCACTCGCAAGCAGGTCAAAGCACACCTGCCCGCCCTGCCCATTGACTTGTGGAACCCGTGCCTATTGGTTTGCTACGCCGCGGGTTCCAGCGCTCCTTTACCATTGGTTTGTGCTGAGCACTTTGCAACGCCCACGGACTCGTCGCCTCCGCCCCTCTTCAGAAGGCACGCCTCTTTCGACTTTGCCCCGCGGAGAAGTTGCCATGATAATTGGCCGGCTTTGGCCCTTATAGCATTATGATTGGCTCCGGCAGGCACAGGTTCTCCACCCTGGTGACATAATCAGACTGGTGCGCTCATTGGCTAACGTGCAGGGTCGAGGGACACGGGTAAAGGTGGGTTGCGCGGCAGAGGCTGCTAGGCAGCAAGGTCAGGCCTCGCGTCCCACCAGGCACCGCGGCAGAGGGGCAGTCCCCAGTCCGGAGTCAGCGACCGAGAACCGGAAGTTCTGGCCCTTCCCACAGTGCGTCGGGAGAATTCTAACCGGTTGTGTGAACCTTCGCCGGCTTCTTGTTACCCACAATGCCCTTTGCCCGTTTAACGCGACAGTTGCCATAGACCCACCTCTCTCTCTCTCTCTCTCTCTCTCTCTCTCTCTCTCTCTCTCGTTACCCATCATGCCTTCTGTCCCCCGCTCCCCCACCCCGGACCTGCGTCACTGCGGCTTCTATCTTTGGCCCATTCATTTCTGTCCCATTACCCAGCATGCCCCCGTCCCATTCATTTCAGTTCCACTGCCTGTACTACCTTTAGCACATTTCTACCCGTGCACTCCCATCGTTCTTCTAGCCCTTCTTAAATTAACCGTCATGTTTTAGGTCTATTATCTAGATGCCTGCGTCCCCTATTTCTCCATTTATTCACCTGTCTGCCTCTGGCTCATTCATCCAGATCTATTACCCATCATGTCCTGAGCTCTTACTGCATTATTCATAAATTTGACTTTGGTCTGTTCTTACTTGCCATTTACCCATTAAACCCGAGTCCCTCGTACTTGATTACTACCATTTATATCTGCCCATTAGACTGCTGTTGCACTGCTTCCTTTTCATTAACCACAAGCCCTGGATTCCTCTCCCCCTCTTCTTCTATTACCCATCATTGCATTTTTTTTTTTTTGCTTATGCATATTTAGTCATTATCCCTTCGATTATTTTTGTCATGTCTTTGACTTTTTTAAATTTTTGTCTGTAACCCATCTTGACTTTGTCTACTGATTCCCTTAAGTCCTGGGCCCCCTATTTATTACCCATCATCATGTTCCACCCTCCCCCCCTTCACATCCCACAGAATACACAAGTTGAGACCTGGTCAAAGTACAAATTCATATTGGTAGGAAATGCCCTATTTACAAAACAATATCAGATCCCTTACCCCAATCCAGGTGACCATCTCCTCCCCCGCCCCTCCCCCCCAGGGAGATATTTGGGTCCCATTTCACTGGGCAGCAGTAAAAGGACTTAGTAGTCTTCAAAGTAACACACAAATTCTTCTCTCAAGGCTGGGGTCAGCAAGGCACACTCTGCATGACACTCACCCTATCTAGTCCTTGACTGGGCTTAATTCCCTGAAGACAGGATTTGGGCAAGTGGGGACTCAGGGAAGGATCCGGACCCTGTGACTCCTGCCTGCAGGAGGAGGGAGATGGGGAAGCTATGCCTTGGGCTGGGGACTCCCCTCCTTCCCACCATGGGGGAACAGACAGGGTGGGGAGGGGGCACGTGGGGCTCTGCTGCCTGGAGGGCTCAGGTCTGAGCAGCAAGGTGCCTGCCCCCCAACATCCAACCCAGCAGAGCTATTGGGAGTTGACTACGTAAGGACACATCAGAGGCCTGGGGTCTTCTTTGGAATTTGGGAGGAGATTGCAGAATGTGAGGCGTGAACTAAGATCAGTTTTAGGAGTCCTTGGGTCGGATTCTGCAGAAACATATTTCCCCTCCCTCAACTCATGAGATAAGGTTGCCAGGTTTCCATTGTCACGGCCGGTTTCTCTAGGTCAGAGATAATGGGCTAGAGGTCACAATGGATCCACCAACGTCAAAGTGACAGATGAGATGCGTGTGTTCACTGACAGTGGCCTGGCCAGACGTCAAGCGGCACAAGATTCCTGGCAGCGACTTGAGGGATCAAAAAGAGAGGTAAGAGCCAGGGCCATGGCGGCTCACACATACATGGCCCGGGACATGACAAAGCCTTTGCCTGGGTAGGAATCAGAGGGACTAGCGTAGGAGAGGGCGTCGTAGATGGGGTTGATCTTGTCCAGGTAGTCTTCCTCATCGTCATCCATGTCCTCCAGATCCAGGGGCACCCGCTCCACAACAGGCGGCCCTGGAGGCACGAGGATGGGGGACCCCAGACTCATGGCCCCCAGGAGCAGAGGCCCCGACCGCTCTTCCAAGGTGGGCAGTTCATGGTACCGAGGCATTTCCTGGGGGCAGGGAGGGAATAGGAGCTCAAGGTCACGTCCTGAGCTTGACATAGAATCCCAATCTGCCCCTTGACTCCACAATCCCGACCATCTCCCCATGCCAACCAGGCCCAACCTTACCCCTTGTCACTGGGTCAATCATATGGCTTGTCCCTAATTCAAGGCCCAGAGCCTGGACCTCACCCTGTCAATCCTGGGTCTCTACTTTGTCTTTTGATTTCTGACCTAAGTCTTTCCCCATGAACCTTTGACTTTAATCTTGACCTCAACTCCTTAACCTGAAGCCTGAAACAGCCCCTTAAACTTTGACTAGTTACAACTTCAATATCTGACCCCTGACTTCCAGTAGATGGCTGATGGGACTCTTATGTCTTGTCTTACAGTACCAAGCCAATGTGGATGTTCAACCAATCTTCATTGACTGACTTTAAACCCTAACCTCATGCCCTCAGAATTTTTCAGTCATGACCTCCCCACTGAATTGTAAACACAGCTCGATGCCATAAGCTCTGACCAGAGACACAGCTCTGAATCTGAGTTGTGACCTTGAATCCTTAACCTCTATGTCAGCGACTGTACCCAGCCTCATCCTTACCCGAGATCCTACCTGCTCAGCACATGAGACGCCAGCATCAAAATAGGGGGTCTTGAGTGGGCTGTGCTCTGAGGCCCCAAGAGTGAAGAGCTGGGAGGGCTGCAGTGGGAGGGGGTGGGATAGGTCAGGACCCCCCCGCCCAGCCCACCTCTTTTCCCCAACTCCCTCTCCCCACCAGGGCCTCACTGGGGAAAGGTGGGGGGCGGCCTGGGTTCCAGGCGAAGTGCTTACCATCTCTGGCTCCTCCAGCTTTGTCTTTGGGGTTGGTGGCTTGTATGACGGAGGCCCCTCCAGGCTGTGGGGTAGGAGGTAGACAGGTGGAGGCTTAGACCTAAGAAGCCCCCCCGACCCTAGAGCCATTGCACAAGCTCCTCCTCCTGCCTGATACTCCTTTCTCCCCCTCCCCCATTCCCCTTGCCCAGCTAACTCCCACTCATCCCATGAATCTTCTTCCAGGAGGCCTCCCTGACTCTCCAGGAGGATCACGATCTCCTGTGATGTGGTCACATCTGGCTGTACACCTCCCTCTTAGGGCACTGAACTGAGTTTGTATTTGAAGTGTTATTTTTTTTTCCTCTCGATTGCTTTTCAGAGTGGAAGGGAGGGAGGGGGAGAGAGAGAGAAACATCGATATGAGAGACACAGCGACTGGTTGCCTCCTGCATACACCTGCCCCGGGGTGGGGGTGGGGGGAGCCTCCTGGGGGTGGGGAGTGAACCCGCAACCCAGGTACATGCCCTTGTCCAGGAATCGAACCAGTGACCCTTTAACCACTGAGCAACACTGGCCAGGGCTGAAATGTTATTTCTGATTTCACTCAATGACTGTACCCAGCCATGAGCAATGTGAGGGAGAAAATGAGATCTTTGATTAACATGGTGTTCCCAGAACCCACTATGAAGAATTCAGTAAATATTTGTTAAGAGAATGAAGAAAGGGTTGAAATGCTTTCCTATCCTCCAAACCAGTGGTCGCCATGGACCACCGGCTGGCGACTACTGCTCCGAACTATGTCACGTTCCCTCATTCTACATACCCACGGATCCGAGCATCCTGTATACATAACAATGATGGGCACTTATTATGCCTTCAATACCCAACTCAGCTCTGGCTGGTGTTGGTTCGATTCCTGGTCAGGGCACATGCCCGGGTTGTGGGCTCTCTCCCTGGTAGGGGGCATGCGGGAGGCAGCCGATTGATGTTTCACTCTTTTTTTAAAAAAATATATTTTTATTGATTTTTTACAGAGAGGAAGGGAGAGGGATAGAGAGTTAGAAACATCGATGAGAGAGAAACATCGATCAGCTGCCTCCTGCACACTCCACACTGGGGATGTGCCCGCAACCAAGGTACATGCCCTTGACCGGAATCGAACCTGGGACCCTTGAGTCCACAGGCCGACGCTCTATCCACTGAGCCAAATCGGCTACGGCTGATGTTTCACTCTTACATCAACCTTTCTCTCTCTTTCTCTCCCTTCTTCTCTCTCTAAAAATCAATACAAATATTACAAAAAAATAAACCAACACAAAAAACACTAACTCAGATATCCCCTCCTCCAGGAGGCCTTCCATGACCTCTGGCTTCTCTCAGCTCCTGTAGGTTCCCTAGCTCATCCCTGGCCATGCTGCACCATCACTGCCTGGGGCCAGTCTGTCTCCTCCAGACCATGAACCCCAGGAGTCAGGGCCAGGGCCATCTCCGGCACCACTGGGTCTCAGCGCTGGGCTGGGCGCAGGAGGTATGAACTGCAAGGTATTGTTTTGCATTGACTAGATGATTAAGACAGTGGTTCACACACTATCTTTTTTTTTTTTAATATATTTTATTGATTTTTTACAGAGAGGAAGGGAGAGGGATAGAGAGTTAGAAACATGGGTGAGAGCGAAACATCAATCAGCTGCCTCCTGCACACCCCCTACTGGTACATGCCCTTGACCGGAATCGAACCTGGGACCCTTCAGTTCGTAGGCCGACACTCTATCCACTGAGCCAAACCGGTTAGGGCATCACACACTATCTTGTGCATCAGAATAACTTAGGGAGCTTGTTATCCAGAGTCTGAACCCTTCTTGTGAAAGTTCTGATGTAGTAGGTTTGGCATAAGCCCAGGAATATGCATTTTTACCAAGTGTTCCCATGCCGCTCCTCATAATTTATGTTTCCATGATATGTGTATGTGTGTGGACACTTTATTTTTATTGATTTTATTTTTTTTAAATATGTTTTTATTGATTTCAGAGAGAAGAAGGGAAAGGGAGAGAGAGAGACAGAAACATTCATAATGAGAGCGAATCACTGACTGGAAGCCTGCACACCCGCTACCGGGCATCGAGCCTGCAACCCAGGTTCATAGGTCGACCCTCAACCACTGAGCCACCTGTGGACACTTTTTAAATGTTTGTCTCTTCATTGGGTTCCTACCCCCAGGGCCTGGTCCTGGGTGGCTACTTTTTGAATACTTGTTGAATCGATGCATGGATGTGAGACTTTGTCGAGGTTCCATATGTCAAATACATCTCGTCAAGCCTGGCACATACAAGGGCTCTGCACAGAGAAGTGTGGCTCTTTTCCCCCCAATATCCAGGCTCCTTCTTTCTCATACTAATAAAGATTTTAGCTGGGCACATGGCCACCCAGAATAAAGACTACATTTCCTAGCTTGCCCTGCTGCTGGGGACAGCCATGTGACAGGTTCAGGTCAATGGAAGTGAGAAGTGATGCACTTCCTTAAAGGGTAACTGAATACCCTGTATTTCTTTCCTTTTTTTAAAACAGTATATTTTTATTGATTTCAGAGAGGAAGGGAGAAGGAGAGATAGATAGAAACATCGATGATGTGTGTTACAGGGCATTGATCGACTGCCTCCTGCACACCCTCCACTGGGGATCGAGCCCGAAACCCAGGCGTGTGGCCTGACCGGGAATCAAACTGTGACCTCCTGGTTCATAGGTTGACACTCAACAACTGAGCCATGCCAGTTACGCTTGAATACCCTGTATTTATATTTCCTTTCCCCACTGGCAGGAACGGGGGCTTTGAGGCCAGGATAGCCATGTCTGGTTGTGAAGTATGTAGATAATGACAGAAGAGTGGGGAGCCTTTGAAATGTGAATAAAGGTGGAGCAACAAGCTAGCAGGAGCCTGGGCTCTGATGACTTCACACAGCAGAGCTGTCATATCCATGATTTATGAGACAGAAGTAAGCTCTCCTCTCTATCCTACTTAAGTTATAGTTATTTGGGGTGTCTTTTTTATTTTTTTTAAAAATATATTTTATTGATTTTTTTATAGAGAGGAAGGGAGAGGGATGGAGAGTTAGAAACATCGATGAGAGACAAGCATCGATCAGCTGCCTCCTGCACACCCCCTACTGGGGGTGTGCCTGCAACCAAGGTACATGCCCTTGACCGGAATCGAACCTGGGACCCTTCAGTCCCCAGGCCGACGCTCTATCCAGTGAGCCAAACCAGCCAGGCATTTGGGGTGTCTTTGTGGCACAGAGCCATTACGGATGATTTTCTCCCACCTTTATCCCCACCGCAGAATCCCCCGTTCTGGGACCCTTCCCTCATCCACTGCTTAGGATGCATCACTTACTCGTCTTCCTCCTCTGCCACCTGCAGCCTCTGTTCCTTCCGCTGCTGCCGGCAGATGAGGATGCCTGTGGCAACCACAGCGGTAGCAATGATGGCAGCGATGATGCCCCCGATGATGCCACCGGTGGCTCCTGCACCTGATGTGTTGGGGGACTCTGCAAGAAGAGGGACAGCGTAAGGGGGTCTCCAGGAGGAAGCCCCAGCTCCTTACTCCCAGCCCAAGTCATCACCCGCCTGCCTAGCTCGAAGGCAGGGGACATTCTTTCATTCAACTTATCCTTGTGGAATAGAGTGGTGAATAAAACATACAAAAGCCCCCGCCCTGATAGAATTTATGTTCTAGTTGGGCAGGGAGACCAACAGTACAGGAACAACTACAATATGCCAGGTGGCAGTAAGTGATGCAGGATAAAACTATAGTGGGTCTGGCCGGTATGGCTCGGTTGGGCGTAGTCCCATGTAACAAAATGTTGTGGGCTCCACCCCCCCCCGATAGGGGCCCTGCGGGAGGCAGCCGATCAATGTTTTGTGTTGGAAAAAGCTTCATATTTAAAAAAAACACATTTTTATTGATTTCAGAATGAAAGAGGGAGATAGAAACATCAATGATGAGAGAGAATCATTGATCGGCTGCCTCCTGCACTCCCCCTACTGGGGATCGAGCCCACAGCCTGGGCATGGGCCCTTGACCGGAATGGAACCCGGGACCCTTCAGTCCGCAGGCCGATGCTCTATCCAGTGAGCCAAACCAGGTGGGGCCAATGTTTGGTTTTTATATCAATATTTCTCTCTCTCCCCCTTCCTCCCTCTAAAAAGAAATAAAGAATCTTTAAAAAACAAAACGGCAAAGTGGGGAAGGTGATGGGAAGTGATAGAGCAGGTAGTCAGAGAGAGTCTTACTGCAAGGTGACACTGGAGCAAGGATCTGAAGGAGCTGTAGCGGGGTGAGCGATGCGGGGGAGGGGGGAGAGGGGTGAGAACATCCTGGCAGAAATGGCAGCCAGTGCAAAGGCCCTGAGCAGGAAGCTTTGTGCTGTTTTTAAGGAACAGCAAGGAGCAGAGTGAAGGAGGGGGTGCACGGGGAGATGAGGGAAGGGACCTGGTGGGAAGGGAAGTAGAGCTACAAGGCAGAGAACTGGGGGATCCTGGGGTTAGGATCACAACCAGTCATTACAGGGAATGCGGTCACCCCGGTCCGAGGACCAGAGCTCCTCCGACCCCACAGGAAATGCCGAGAGAGAAACGCATGGCCTCATGGGCCTTTCCTGTGCTACACGCTTCACACTTCCTAAAGCTGTTATTGGAGTAATAGCTTGTGTGATTGCCAAGTTCTACACTAGGCTGAGTTCCGAGGGACGGGCTGGTCTTGCGAGATGTGTAAGGGTGGGTGGGCATGGGCGCTCGGGACCTGCTATAGCCAGATTGACAAAATCCCCGCCCCTGCCCTCTAGGTGGGAAGGTGGGGGGTTAGAAGGGGGTGTTAGACAATAAGCAACCAGAATGCAAAAGCCCCACCCACAGGCCCCACCCCTTCCATGAAGCCCACTCCACAGAGGAGATCCAGCCCCCAGAGGAACCAAGCCCGGAGCCCAGGACGGCCCGTTTTCCACACGCCTGTTCCACAGCTGGGCTTTCTCAGGAGGGCTTGCGTGTGGGAGGATAACAGAGTAATTGCCGCTCAGTCCACACCAGCCACCCTCAAATCACTGTTATTCCAGGCGTCCTGCCTGCGTGTGAGGTCTGCCCGCGTCACGGCTTCATCCCCAGCAATTAGGTGGAAGTCAAAACTGGTAGAAGTAAACTCACCAAGCCCTTCCCGGCCGCCCAGGCCCACTGGGCCGAGGAGCTGAGCCTACTGAGTAGAGTTGCCTGATAGCCTCAGGAGCAGAGACCCTGGGGCCAGGGAGCGGAGGTGGCTGGGATTTACCCCTGCCCCTCCCATTCCCCCACCTCAGTCCCCAGCCTGGGGTTGGGAGAGGTTCTGGTTGAGGGGAATTAGGCGGGAGGCAGCGCTACAGCCCCTACCTCTGAATCACTGAAAATTCCCTCTAGCTGGGCCCCAGGGGAAAAGGAAGAGGAAGGAAGCTGGGAAAGGCCACTTCTCGGGGTGGAGAGGTGGGACTTCCCTGGTTGCTCAGAACCCACGCCCGCCTTGCCTCCTGGGGGCCCGGTCGGGGGCAGCGCTCCCTCCCCAGGTCTCAGCAACCTTGGGGAGTTGGGTCTGCGCTGCTCCCGGATAATCAGACCATAGCACCCTCGGCAAGCGCCCAGGGGTCCGGGATCCCTTGGCCTCGAGGAAGGCAGCTTCAGTGCTGGAAGCTTCAAGTCCAAGCCCTCCAGTCTCTAAGCCCAGATCCCATCCCACTGGCTCCGGGTCTCAGCATCCAAGGTGTCCTTTAAGGACCCAGATACTAAGAGCACCCCAGCCTCCCACTCCATGGAGCCCAGTTCAGCTTTCCGACCCCCCCAAGGAGGGGGTCCAGTGTATTACAAGACACCCCCGATTTTTCCTCCAAGTTTATTAACTCCTGAGTGTCACAGGGCAGGGCTGGGGCAGGCCAGAGCCAAAACCAAGTCTCTGGGGGGGGGTCCGCTGTGGGTCCCCCTTCCCTCCCCCATGCAGCCCTGGAGCCGTAAGTCCAGTGTGTGATATTCCACCTCCCTCTGAATCCCAGGAAAGTGGGAGGTAGCATTTGCGCTCCAGTGTCATCCAGACAAACGAGTCCAACCAGAGTCCAACCAGTCTGTCACCCGCGGGCCCCCGCAGGCTCGTCTCTGTCTCTCTGTCTGGGGGTCACACATAAACCGCCCGCCGGGAGATGAGGGAGCCGTCCAGCTGGGACTCCATGTCATCCTCGAGTGCCGGGGATGGCGGCAGCATGAGGCCTTTCTCTGCCTTCTCCTCCTCTTCCTCGTAGTCCTCCTCCGCGTCCTTGCCGTCCGGCCTCGGGGGACCAGGGGCCGTTGTGGTCCAGAAGACGGGGCCTCCGTTCTCAAACACTTGAGTTTTCGGGTCATAGGATCCCTGGCCGCTCTCTGGTCCTCCTCCCGCGGCTCCAGGGCTCTTCCTCCTCCTCCTCACCCTCAGCAGGATGAAGGCCAAGGCCCCCCCAGCCAGAAGCAGCAGCACCAGCAGTGTCCCCCCCACGGCCCCCCACACCATTGGACCCTCGTCTCGGGAAGAGGCCCGGGGGCCGTCTGAGGAGAGAGAAGGAGGGGTGAGAGAGAGAGAAAGGGAGACACAAGGTCAAGAGGATACATCTGGGGAGGACAGGGCAGGGGAGTGACAGGAACAGGGAGGTGACTCTGACTGGGCAAAATGGGGGGGGGGGCGGAGAGAACCCATTCACCCTTTGCTACAGGCTGAGCGCTCTGTATACGCAGGGGTTGCCAGCGGGTGGCCCCAATCTCCTTATACCCGCACAGCACAGTATTATTGAACTTTCTAGCCAACATTTCAGAAACCAGGTGATTTCACTGAAAATTCCATTTGGGGTGGGGGTTGGGGGGTGGGGGTCAGATCTGGCAACACCAGTCTCATGCCCTCCACCTGGTGAGGGGCTGTAGCGGAGTGAAGGCTGTGACTGGGCAGGGAACAGAGTTCCACACCCGGCCACCAGGTCGCAGGCCAGGACCCAGGAGGCATGTGACCCCTTGAGGATGAGCTGAGGTCACGGTCACAAAATCTTGGGGTGGATCCAGCCAGGAGGAGGGAGAGGTGGACTTGAGCGGGAGGCTGTCTGACTCCAAAGCTCTTTGTACTCGAGAGGAGAAGGGACCTTCTGAGAATTCCCCCCTTGGAGCGCTGGGAGCACCTGGTCTGGGCGGCGTGGCCTGCCTCCTGCCTGGACAACCCATCCCCAGTGCCACCTGCCCCCTGCCTGGGCCACCTCCCTCCTGCCTGGGCCACCCATCCCCAGTGCCACCTGCCTCCTGCCTGGGC